GCAACAAATTTGGACCCCTGTAATTACCGTTGCCGATAAGAGTACAGACAAGGCTAAACCACTATCGATTTTTGTTTACCACAATATCGACGTCAATTGAAACGTTTTCAGTGCGTGACCATTGCTATTTGAGGTGTTAACTCGATTAGAGTGGTCCATAAGCGTATTTGCTTTGTTGGAGACGCGTGAATGGGAGTTAAAGTTAGTCCGCCAAAATCTGTCCTCACTTCATATTTTTCAGTGTCTCTCGCATCGCACGTAGTAAGAATAAACTTTAAAAAATGGAGTCTAAATTACGGATGTTATGAAGGTCGAACCAGTACGAACACCAAGATTAAATTCGTTTGAGGTTTGCTTATTACTTTAACCAGGTTCATGCATTGGCAAATATAAAATAGTCTTTCAATTCTTATTCGTCTCAGCACCTTCTTAGTTCATCAGTGTCTTATTAGAGTCCCTGTCTTATCGAGCCACGCTCCTGACCGAACTCATTTTTGATGTTATTTCGCAATCAACTCTGATCTTTGTTATTCTTGGCCATCCCTGATCTTTGTTAATTTCAATATTGCCGCTATATCATATTTTGTGGTTTGTAATTTATACGAATCTTCTACTTGCCTCTTCTTCGTATTTCTTTTTCCTTTCGCTTGGAAATGATATCAATTTCGAAAATTTCTCACTTACGGTATTTTTTCTCGTCACGTAAATACGCAAAATAATTCCACCTCGACCTTTTGAGGTCATTGGTATCCGTGTCCAAGCACATTTGAGTATTATTTCCTCACAGGTAACGTCAACAACTCCAGTCACTTGGTATGCCCAGTGGTTTAGAAATAGCGGAGCCTTGTCTTATCATTACATTGGCTCCCAGAAGAACTGTAGAGATCACACCCAGGTTTCACTAACTAAGAGAGGCCCCTTAGACTCTTACGCACGAATCATGGCAACTCCGTATCTTCTCGTCTTTGTCGCTGCCCTGGTTGTTTTCATAATGCCAACGGGTGAGTTAGATTAATAATTTTGAGCTGCGTACGTTTGAGTTAACGTTCCGCTACTTTAGCTAAAAGGAAAAACTGTTTCACTCATTTGTTCCATTATCTTTTCGTCGAAATTAAAGCTTGACTGGCGCCCACAACTCTCACTTGCATTTGCTTTCGGATACCCATGTAACATTTTGTGGGATCGAATCCAATTAGTTGTACTTTGTAGAGAGAACTTGAGTACAGCGCTGACAAAACCGCTGTAGTCACGTACAGAGATTTTCCATGAAACAATGACAATTCATTGAATCAAGACGATGTCTTGCGGACACTCTTATTTTGTGTAGAGCGCTCTAAAGTATCACTTGGCCACAGTCCTTAGTAAACTTTAGGCTACGAAAAAAAGCGCCACGTAAAGGTGGCTTGGTGTTTATTCTAGAATCACGAGAATTAAACTTTGTCTTTGGGAAACATATCCGTGACAAGCTTAACTGACAATGTGAATAGTAGCTAGAAAAAAGAAAAAAAAAAAAGCAGTTAAACGTCATTCCAGAAAATAAGAACTGCTTTTGTTTAAACCGAAAAAAAATTCTACTAGTAAGTACCACTCTCGCTAAGAGCGGTCCTCTCGACTTCCCCTCCAAAAAGAATTTTCCTTAATTTTTTTCCTATGAAAAGGGTTTAGGGCTCATATTTCAACAATAGTTTGATTATTTGCCAATTCTTTTTTTCTTTTTTTTTTGACTCGCCACAAGCGATAATTGACTTTTCGCCAGACCAACAGTGTAGACAACGATTGAAAGTGTAAATTTCATGGCTTTTGTCTCGCGCGCTGCGACTGTAAAAGTGTAGCTTACGGAATTCTCTCTTGCATCAGGTTACGAGCTATATTTAGTCAGTTCACAGACAAAATATGAAAACTTCCCTTGAAATCCTATTTATATCAGCGTGATTAGAAGAGGCTTCCCTTCGACCTTAATTTGCATATTAAAAATTAACCAATTTAGAAGAATGAATTCTCAAAATGCAGGCGTGAATCGGGCTGAAATAACATATCGGAGGATAGTTTATACACCAGTAAGGTGACCGATTGCCTCGATCGAACCTGCGTGTATCTCCCTAGCTTTCATCCACCATATCTTGAAAACAATGTAAATCAGTGCCTTTACTTAATC